AGTTCTTGGTGATTACATAAGTTTTTGCTTTATAATTTGTTGATTATATTAATATTTATGTTTCATGCACTTTTTTTTTGAGTTGGAGTCTCACTCTGTCACCCAGGCTGGAGAGTAGTGGCATGCTCACGGCCACCCTAGCGTCGACTTGCTGGGCTCAGGAGATCCTTCCCTCCCAGCCTTCCAAGTAACTGGAACTACAGGCACGTGCCACCATGCCTGGCTAATTTTTTTTTTTTGAGTTGGAGTCTTACTCTGTGACATTCACGGTCACCCCAGCATCGACCTGCTGGGTTCAGGTGATCCTTCTGCCTCAGCCTTCCAAGTAGCTGGAACTACAGGTGTGTGCTACCATGCCTGACTAATTTTTTATTTATTATAGAGACGAGGTTACGCCAATTTGCCCTGGCTGGTCTTGAACCTACATGCTCAGGCAATTCACTCACCTCAGCCTCCCAAAGTGCTGGGATTACAGGCTGAGCCACTGAGCCCAGCCAAATTTTTTGATTTATTGTAGAGATGAGGTCTCGCCAAGTTGCCCAGGCTGGTCTCGAACTCACGGGTTCAGGCAATCCTCTCACCTCGGCCTCCCAAAGTGCTGGGATTATAGACATGAGCCACCGCGCCTGGTCTGCACCATAATATTTGTAGTGAAAAAAAGGCTAAGAGGAGAAAAACCAAAAGTTTATTAAAACATAACTAGATATACCTTGATTGTTTACATTCTCCAGTTGCCATTGAGTCTCAAAATACATTGGAAGCATGCAATAAGCAATAGTTTAACGAAGTCATAGCATTTATAAGGTTCTGAAATGGTTACAATATAAACTCTGCCATAAAAATTAGTAAAAGATACAAGGTATAACATATTTTAATACTGATATAATGGCAGTAGTAGCTTTGCAATGTTGGTTTATATAATTCTTACAGCTTTTTTGGGTTTTTTTGAGTCGGAGTCTCACTCTGTAGCTCAAACTGGAGTGCAGTGGCACACTCATGGCCACAGCAGCCTCGACCTGCTGGGCTCAGGCAATCCTTCCACCTCAGCCTTCCAAGTAGCTGGGACTACAGGCGTGCACCACCATGCCTGGCTAATTTTTTGATTAATTGTAGAGATGAGGTCTTGCCAAGTTGCCCAGGCTGGCTTCAAACCCATGGGCTCAGGCAATCCTCTCACCTTGGCCTCCAAAGAGCTGAAAATATAGGTGTGAACCACTGTGCCTGGACTTACAGCATTTTTCTTATAATCCTTTATCCACAAGAACAGTCAAGTCATTTAGATTAAATTGATAAGGTGCATGGTGGTTTTTAATATTGTAAACATTGTAAGTGTCCCATAGAAAATTGATAATTGATAAGATTGCTAAATAAAATGTAGAATGTCCAGTTAAGCTTATGAATTTCAGATAAACAATGAATAATTTTTTAGTACAAATATGTCCTATGCAATATTTGAGGCATATACTAAAAAAATTATTTGTTATTTAACGGGATATAATAATTATACTTAAAAATTATATTTTGTCATCAGGCTCAGTGGCTCAGTTATAAATACTCAGCTGTTTTATTATCAGTGATTATTCCCTTGTTACATACTATAAATGTAGATAGCAGTTTTTTAAAAAACAACTTTCACCAGCAGCAGATATACCTCTTAACTTTGCTGCCTGTTTAATTTTCATCCATAAATGTGTTATAACCATAAATGTGAGTCTCATCAGCAGGACTGCCTCTTAGGTGCTAAACCTGTCCCAGGTCTGCTTTCTGATGACTTTCTAACAACACTGGCTTTGGCATCTCAAAGCAATATTTATCTGTGCAAATACAGTTATTTCTGGGAAATTGCTAAATTATCTTTTTAGCCTAAGCTAACCTGAGCATATTTCAAGTAGATATGTAGCTGCTTCCTGTCAGACTAGAAAGTTCAGTGATGATCTGAAAAACCTTGTTTCCTATTAATGAGGAGCCGCTATCTTTATTCTTGGACCTGCAGAGGAGGTTAACAGTATCGACAGGCAACAGTATCCTGTGCCTTGAGTGACACTGTAATGAAAGTTCCTCTTCCTCCATCATACTTAGCTCATATGTGATGGGGATCTTCACCAAAGCTACAGTAGTGTCCACTGCTAAGCAGACATATCTGATAAACTGGGAACTTCCAGAAATACAGTACTTGTCAATTTTGCAGGGGACTGATAAGATTGATAAATTGATAATTTGATTGATAAATTGATATAAGATTGATATAAGATTGATAAATTGATAATTGATAAGATTGCTAAATAAAATGTAGAATGTCCAGTTAAGCTTAGGAATTTCAGATAAACAATGAATAATTTTTTAGTACAAATATGTCCTATGCAATATTTGAGGCATATACTAAAAAAATTATTTGTTATTTAACGGGATATAATAATTATACTTAAAAATGATATTTTGTCGTCAGGCTCAGTGGCTCAGCCTGTAATCCCGTGCTTTGGGAGGCTGAGGTGAGTGGATTGCCTGAGTCCGTGGGTTCAAGACCCACCTGGGCAACTTGGTGAGACCTCATCTCTACAATAAATCAAAAATTAGCCGGGCATGGTAGCACGCGCCTGTAGTTCCAGCTGCCTGGAAGGCTGAGGCAGAAGGATCTCCAGAGCCCAGCAGGTGGAGGCTGTGGTGGCCAGGAGCGGCCATTGCACTCCAGTCTGGGTGACAGAGTGAGACTCCAACTCAAAAAAAAAAAAAATATATATATATATATATGTTTTGTCTATCAGAAATTCAAATTTACTTGGATGTCTTATATTCTTATTTGCTAAATCTGGAAATCCTAGACTGGCAGGGAAAAACAAAATCCAGTGAAATGTGCATTATGACTGGTTTTTTTGCTTGTTTGTTTGTTTTTGTTTTGTGAGTCAGAGTCTCACTCCATCGCCCAGGCTGGAGTGCAGTGGCATACTCACGGCCACCCCAACGTCAACATGCTGGGCTCTGGCGATCCTTCCGCCTCAGCTGGAACTACAGGTGTGCACTACCACCTGACTAATTATTGATTTACTGTAGAGACGAGGTCTCACCAAGTTGTCTGGGCTGGTCTCAAACCTGTGGGCTCAGGCAATCCACTTGCCTTGGCCTCCCAAAGTGCTGGCTGAGCCACGAAGGCCGGCCATGACTGTTTTTTAATCCATGGCTGGTGAGAACACAGAATCAGATCTCATAGTGAACCTGCTATGGACTTTGGAGAATCCATGGCAAGACATTATGGAAAATGTAAGTTTCATGTTAAAGTCTTCATAAAATTTTTATTTAGTTGCATTAATGTGAACAGAAAGTAGATATAAAAATAAGGACTATCTCAGTGAGCCAGATATCACTACCTATCCAACATACTAGAAATGATACATTCTAATTTTTAATTTTTTTAATTTTAGAGACAGGGTCTCACTGTGTTGCTCACACTAGAGTGCAGTGGCTATTTACAGGTGTAACCACGGTGCACTACATTCTGGGACTCCTAGGTTTACATGATTCCCTGCCTCAGCCTCCAAATAGCTGGGACTATAGGCATGTGCCCCTATATCTGGCTATATTCTAATTTTTTTTTTTTTTTCTGAGTTGGAGTCTCACTCACTACCGCAGCCTCGCCTGCTGGGCTCCGGCGATCCTTCTGCCTCAGCCTTCTGAGTAGCCGGAATTACAGGCACGTGCTACCATGCCCGGCTGATTGTTTTTGATTTACTGTAGAGATGAGATCTCGCTGCCCAGGCGGGTCTTGAACCCGTGGGCTCAGGCAATCCACTCACCTCAGCCTCCCAAAGGCGCGGGATTACAGGCTGAGCCACCAAGCCCGGCTAATATTCCAATTTTTAAGGTCACCTTGGGATTCATGTCAAATCCTTTGAAAGATATTTGCATTTGGATGGAGGATGGTCACACTTCTTAATTGTTTATAAACAATTACAGAAATATAATTTCTATAAAACAATTATAGAAACAAATTTTTTTTTTTTGAGAGTCTCACTCTGTTGCCCATGGTGGAGCGCAGTGGCACACTCATGGCCACCTCAGCATCAATCTGGTGGACTCTGGCGATTCTTCTGCCTCAGCCTTCCAAACAGCCAGAACTACAGGCATGTGATACCTCACCCGGCTAATTTTTGATTTATTGTAGCGATGAGGTGTTGCCAAGTTGCTCTGGCTGGTTTCGAACCCACAGACTCAGGCAATCCACTTGCCTCTGCCTCCCAAAGTGCTAGGATTATAGGCTGAGCCACTGAGCTCAGCCATAAAATT